GTGTGTTGGTGCGCGCGCGGTGTGTGTGTGTGTGTTATCCTTCCATAAATATCTTCCTATATATATATATCTTCCCATATATATATAATATATATATACCCTGCCATCTGAATCAATAGTTGCACGTGATCTAGCTCATGACTTGAAAGAGTGCACATTTCTCCCCGCTCCAGCCGGGCCAAGCAACGACAGAGATTCCGCGCGTGCTAGGGAACCCACCAGGCGGCTCTCGCAAAATAATAACGACGCCGCGCAGAGTTGAAGGTTCAGGGTTAGGGTTAGGGTTAAGGTTAGGGTTGAGGTTAGGGTTGAGGTTGGGTTGAGGTTTGGGTTATGGTGGTAGGGGTTGGGGTTGGGGTTATGGGATAGGGGTTAGGGTTAGAGTTAAGGTTAAGGCCGCCGCACACCCGCCGTATTTTAAGCAAACAGTGAAGCGAATGAAGCGATGAAGTGATGTAGGTGTGGCCGCGCCTTAAAATCGGGCTCACTCGCTCATCGGCTCATCGGCTTCAAAATCAAACATGTTTGATTTGAACGATCCACCCAGTAAAAACTAAAATCGTCTACAGAATGAACGCGCACACCTACATCGCTTCATCGGCTTTCATCTTTTGTAAAAAAATCGCTGGGGTGCGGCGGCCTCTTAGGAGAGAGCCGGCGCAGAGTTTAGGAGGGGGGGGGGAGAAGTAGTAGATGATCGATACCTTTGAAGATCGGACAGATGTTCCAGACGGTGATTCCTCCTTGCTGCATGAACTGCCCGAGCGAGATCTCCAGGAAGAACATCGGAACTCCTCCTGTCGCGAGGCAGATCAAATACGGGATGAGGAAAGCTCCTGGAAGAACGCACGCCGCATGATTAGCGATATACTCCTGTCGCGACATAACGCGTCGGCGTCGTCCGAACTACAGTTAAAACCCTCATTGGCGAACCTGTCTATAAAGGACGGATACTTCTCCATAAGGGGCCACTTGTCACGATTTTCATCAATTATAAACAGTGACAAGCACCTCTAGTCAATGGACACTCATCTATGAACGCATATCTATGGACTTTTGACATTTCCTTTAGTTGGCAGTTAAATAGTGATGTATACTACTGGAGAGATAGCTGCCGGTGAAGCACACTTCTAGTGTTTGCGTCGTTGTCGAGTGGTCATTATCCACAGGTTGAGCTGTCAGGCCATCATCCGAATGACAACCGCGCTCTCTGTTAATAACACGTACAGTAGTACATGCACACGCACACAGTATATCTGGCAGGCCGCATGGCCGCAATCACATCGTATCATGTGCAACCTGGCGACTCGGGCGAAGATGAGAGGGAGGAGGGGGGTGGAGAGGAGGAGGAGGCAGGAGGGGGAGGAGGAGGAGGAGAGAATGATGATGATAGGGGAAGGAGGGGAGGAGGGGAAGGAGGAGGAGGAAGTAAGAGGGTAGCGATGAGGGGAGGAAGATGAGAGCGAGAGAGGGGGAGCAGATAAAGAAGAGGAGGGGAGGGGAGGGAGATGCGTTTCCTCATTGTGATCGAATTCCCGCGCGAATAAAAATATGAGGATCGCACATGCAAAAAAGTACGGCGTCTGCGAGTGCAGGCGACCTGCGTCGCTGGGCGTTCGTAAGAGCTCGTTAGGAACGGGCGTCTGCGAGTGGCTAGCGACCTGCTCGCGGGGGCGTTGTAGAGCTCGTTAGGAGACGGCGTGTGCGAGTGCTACGAGCCTGCTCGCTGGCGTTTGGTGAGCTCGTTACGGAGAACGGCGTCTGCGAGTGCTGACGAGCCTGCTCGCTGCGGCGTTGTATGAGCTCGGTTAGAAGACGGCGAGATGCGGGTATAGCACGAACAGAGAGGAGGACGCATTGAAAGAGCTTGGAAAGGAGATGAAGCGGAAGAGGGGCAATAAGGTGGCCCTACTGGAAGTAGATCTGATATCAGATGGAAAGAAGGCCGACAGATGAGAAGAAGGGAGACAGATGGAGACAGTGCAAGGGAACAGACTGGTAAGGGGCCGCAGACGAGATAAGACCGTTTTTAAGGATCACCGCGGAATTGATGAAGCAGATATATATATAATATATAATATATATATATATTATAGGTCAGATAGTAGACGATAGAAGATGACAGAGAGTGTGGCGTTGGAAGCAGAATTGAACCTAAACGACGACTCATAAACGAAGAGAAAGAGAAAAGGCACGAGAAGAGACTACTAACGAAGAGTTAACTAGCTGCACATGGAAGAAGACCGCGACCGAGACCTGAGTAAATCATTCTTCTCCTGTTATTTTTAGTCTTTGTCTTCTCTCATAGTTTGCTTACAGTGTCTTCGTACACTTCTGCGTGTGTAGCGCGCATTACGCGGTTTCTACAAAAAAGTAATAGGTGAAGCATGAGGAGATGAGGTATACATAAGATAACATAAGCGTAACATAAGTAACTATAAGGTAACGATGAAGAGTTAACAACACTCGAGCGCCGGAACGGCCGCACGGACGCCCGCAGTTTCAACAATGCCGCAGGCGACAGGGCTTATCTGGTGTCTGGTGTTCCTGTAGGGTCCCTATATACATGAGAGTTGCGCCAACGTCAGGATTTGACTCCATGTTGTTTCAAATGTATCACAACGCTGTACAATGGTCCGTATTATTTTTTAGTAATTAATAGAACATAATCGTTCTTTTCAATAAACTCAAACCTTAAAAGGAATTATAGCTAAGACATGTGTCTAATGTGTATCTAGAATTTCTAGAAATGTAACGCAAATCGTTCGCGCAGCATAATGATAGTTTAATTGTACACTTCTACGCCCAATAGCCGTGCGTATATAACCTGTGCGATACCGCCGCGTACGATACTTGCTAATTAATTAAATCACTCGCGCTTCAATAAACTCAAGAATCACAGAAAGATGATAGGAATAAACAATGTGTTTGATATGTATCTAGATTTCTAGAAAAGGAACCTCAAATCGTGTCGAGAGTTGGGCACATATTATAAGGGCTTAATTGGTACAATTTCTTAGTGTAAACACAGCAGCTAGTCCATTTTGGAAAATAATGAGCAACTGTAATTCACAAGATAAAGCGTTCCACTCTAGCCACTCGCTCGCAGCTGTAACATGTGTTTTGGCAGTTCTAGAAATCTAGATACACATAGACACATGGTCTTAGCTATATCTCTGTGTAAATTTTGACTTATTGAATGCACGATTAGTCCTAATTAATGATACGGACGCATTGGTACAGTCGTATGCCCCATACAGACGTCGTTGTACTTTAAAGGTGAGATTTTCAGAATTCAAAATAAGTGAATTTATCAAGAATCAATATATATATTAAAATAAAACATTCTAAAAAAGTTTGTCACCGATTTATTATTAAATCATGAAAAAATCGAGATCAATATAGTTAAAAACATCGTTGCTGCTAATTCTGAGTCAGTGGCACAGCTGCCTTCGGTAATCATACGGCTCTTTACGGATTCGTGATGGGGGGTCACAGTTGTCAAACAAATACTCGGAGGTCACTACAAAGGCAATTGATAAGTTGAGAAGTATTATTTCGCGTTTTCATTGATTTACCGAATATCATGGTGTATTGTTCGGCAGTTAACTGCCACAATGGATCTGGAAGTGGCAGATCATTTCACGCGTTTCCGAATGTGAAGGATAAGAAGGAACTTCGCGAGAAATGGTGGAGAAGAAGGAGGGGGAGAAGCTGGTGGAGAGGAGGAGGGGGAGAAGGGAGAAGGAGGAGGGGGGAGAAGCTGGTGGAGAAGGAGGAGGGAGAAGGGAGAAGCTGGGTGGAGGAGGAAGAGGGGGAGAAGGGAGGAAGGGTGGTGGAGAAGGAGGATGGGGGGAAGCTGGTGGAGAAGGAGGGGGAGGGGAGAAGGAGAAGCTGGGCGAGAAGAAGAGGGGGAGAAGCTGTGAGAAGAAGAAAGGGAGAAGGGAGAAGCTGGAGGAGAAAGGAGTAGGGAGAAGCTGGTGGAGAAGGAGGAGGGGGAGAAGGGAGAAGGAGGAGGTAGAAGCTGGTGAGAAGGAGGAGGGGGAGAAGGAGAGGGGGAGAAGCTGTGGAGAGGAGGAGGGGGAAAGGAGAAGCTGGAGGAGAAGGAGATGGAGAAGCGTGAGAGAGGAGGAGGGGAGAAGGAAAAGGTGTGAAAGAAGGAGGAGGGAGAAGCTGGTGGAGAAGTAGGAGGGGAGAAGGGAGAAGCTGGGTGGAGAAGGAGGGGGACGAATCTGGTGGAGGAGGAAGGATGGGAAAGGGAGAAGGAGGAGGGGGAGAAAGCTGGTGAGAAGGAGGAGGGGGAGAAGGAGAAGGTGTGGAGAAGGAGGGGAGAAGCTGGTGGAGAAGTAAGGAGTGGGAGAAGGGAGAAACGCTGGTGAGAGGACGAGAGGGGAGAAATCTGTGGAGGAGGAGATGGGAAAGGAGAAAGGAGGAGGGGAGACAAGCTGGTGGAGAGAGGAGGGGGAGAAGGGAGAAGGGGTGGAGAAGGAGGAGGGGAAGAAGCTGGTGAGAAGGAGAGGGAGAAGGGAGAAGCTGGTGGAGAAGCAAGGAGGGGAGAAGCGTGGTGAAGGAGGAGGAGGGGAGAAGGGGAAGAGGAGGGGGAGAAGCTGGGTGGAGGAGGAGGAGGGGGAGAAGGTGGCTTCTCACCCGAATCTCACACAGCTTCTCCCCTCCACTCCTCCCACCAGCTCTCCCCCCCCTCCTTCTCCACCAGCTTCTGCCCTTCTCCCTCCTCCTTCTCCACCACCCTTTCTCCTCCCCTCCCCTTCTCCACCAACCTTATCCCTCTCCTCCTTCTCTCACCAGCTTCTCCCCTCCTCCTTCTCCAGCCACCTTCTCCACCTTCTCGGCCTCTTCCTCCACCCAACCAGCCTCTCCTTCCTCCCGCCTCCTTCTTCTGCCACCAGCTTCCCCCATCCTTGCCTCCTGCCACACAGCTCCTCCCCCTCCTCCTCTCTCCTCCTCCAACCAGCGTTCTCCCCCTCCTCCTTCTCCACCACCTTCTCCTTCTCCCCCTCCTCCTTCTCCACCAACCTTCTCCTTCTACCCTCTCCTCCTCCACCAGCTTCTCCTTCTCCACCAACTATCCCTCTCCGATCCTTCTCCACACTTCTCCCTCCTCACTTTCTCCCCACCTTCTCCCATCCTTTCTCCCTCTTCCTCCTCCACTCACTCTGCCTTCTCCCCTCCTGTCTTCCTCCACCAGCTTCTCCCCCTCCTCTCCTCCACCAGACTTCTCCCCTCCTCCTTCTCGCTCCTCCTCCACCAGCATTTCATCCCCCTCCTCCTTCTCCACCGACCTTCTCCTTCTCCCACCTCCCCTTCTCCACCACCTTCTCCCTTCTACCCTCTTCTCCTCCACCACTTCTCCTTCTCCACCAAGCTTCTCCCCCCCTCCCCTCTCCTTCTCCCCCTCCTCCTCCATCCACCACTTCTCCCCTCCCTCTTCTCCACAGCCTCTCTCTTCTCTCCGCCTCTGCCTTCTCCACAACTCTTCCCCCCTCCTCCCTTCTCCCACCACCTTATTCCCCTCCTCTCTTCTCCACCCAGCTTCTCCCCCTCCTCCTTCCACCACCTTCTCCCTTCTCCCCTCTTCCTCCTCCACAGACTTCTCCCGTTCTCCCCTCCTTCTTCTCTCCACCAGCTTCTCCCCTCCTCGCTCCTCACAACCACCACCAGCTCTCCCTCCTCCTTCTCCTCCCCATCACACTCACTTTCTCCCTCCTCCTTCTCCAACCAACCTTCTCCTTCTCCCCCTCCTCCATTCTCCACCACCTTCTCCTTCTACCCCTCTTTGCCTCCCCAGCCACTTCTCCGCTTCTCCACCAGCTTCTCC